GACTTGCATGTTAACCGTGTATTTTAGACTTAGCGGAATGGGATGTACAATATGTCCCTTCTCCGTGAATTCGCATATGCCCGTAGTGGCTTGTGGTCTAATCACTACCTTACAACCCTCTAGTTAACAGCCCGTAACAACCCGAGAAGAGTGGAAAAAGAGGCAACAGTGAACACGACCGTTTATTAGCGTCACGTCAGCTCAGTGTGAACGGATGACAGGCATCTGATACAGTAACCAATGAAAAGGGGATGAGTCATTGTCACCGTCAGGTCGGTAACCAGGGTTAACTGTTAATCCGCTACATGCCCCTTCTAAGTTGCAAACTAAATTAATTGTAGCGTTCGTCTTGCCAGAACCTATAAAATTGCAGATTGTAAACACGCTTTTTTTGAGATTGGCTAGAAAATGTTCAAAACATTAAAAATTTTTATCATTTGACAATTGGAATACCACCGATTGTGTAGTTTTTGTGATCCTTCAAATGTGACAATGTCAGAACTGTTGGAATACCTCATATTGATCAACGTTTCAAAACTTTGATTTTATCTCGTTTTAACGAAAACTCTATAATATGTTATTCTCAACAATGTAGTTCTCTAAGCAGATACGTTCACACCACATTCTCCTGAATAAAAATTGTTCTGTTTAGGAGGCCAACTTGACCAAGTGAACCAATAGACGTCAAGCATCCGCTAGATGTGTTTGACAAATTACAGAAGCCCTGATATTTAATGAAGCTTCGCCTGCCGATGTCGCACGAAGTGATTGATGCCAACACAAAAAACGAATTAATCAGATCCGAAGAATGGCCATACGGTTCTTGCACACACGCATTTTAAACCGTTAATAATCGCCAAATGCTGCAATTAGTTGATTATACACCCAAAGGTCGTGTTGAGTACAACATTTTGCCACGAGTTCGCATTATAGCAGAAAATCAACATTGGACAACACACAATTGGATGCTGTCTTATTAAATGGTATTTTGCTTAGAAGGATTCAGTCGTCCAGGTATTTGTTTGCATTTCAAACACAAAAAAATACTATTTGGGGGATCCAACTTTGCGTTTAACTGAGTTATACCCCCTAAACTGTCGAATTAGTGTCAGCGACTACGTTTGCACAATTCTTTTTCCTTAAAATGGTAAGCTTCAAAAATCCACATCCTCATCTGGTACAAAGCCAAGCATGCTTTGCGAATTTCCGAAAATTTTGTGTAAAACTTTTTAGTGTTAGCTGTGCTATGAAAATCTTTCAAAGTTCATCGTTTAAATGCGTTGTCAATCCACACCTAAATATGGCTTAAACCTTCCGCATTTATTAGTGCAGTGATGAATACGAGGAATATTGCGACTGAAAACCCTTCCAAATTCATGGCGTTTCCCTAGTTAAAAGGCAATCAACACCATTCGAAGATTACGCAGTTTGTCTCTTAATGTGTTTTGCACCAGTCGAAAAGGTTTCCGCCAGGTTTCAACCCCATTCATGTGGCTCGATTTTATTTCCGTTTGTAATTTAATGGTTACGGTAATCTTCAGACAGGTATGCGCTTGTAACAACATACCAAAAGCGACACCTAGCACCATGTTGAACCTTGTCTCTATTAAGTATATTTTGGATGTTTTAATTTCATAGTCTTTCGTATTTCTGGTGGTTTTACACTACTTTTAAGTTGCACTACCGAAGTCAAACAGTTTATGTTTTTTTTCACTTTGTAGATACGCTCTAGGGAATCGAATTTTGCAAGTTGCATTCAAGACACTAGCAGTTAACGTGAAGACAAGTACCTCGACGACAGCATCCAGCGGACAATCAAGTGCTTAGAGGCTTTCTTGTGTGTTTGGCTCTTTTCTACTTCATTTTCCAGCTCCTATTTTGAACAAATGTCTGCTACCTCCATTCCCTAGTTGGTGCTTTACTTATGCAAAAAAAACAATCATCCAATTAGACGTGAAATGAAACATGCAGGAGATATTATACCTCCTGATGCCTTCACTTGTCCTTCCAAAAACTCAAGTCCATGGGCAAAGGTACGAATCATTCTGTGGCTAAAGCGAGAGTGTTTATGTGGTGGAAATGTGCACTCAATCTCCACATACACAAATCGTGTGCTATTCAGCTGCCAATGCAATCATGTTTCAATTTTCCTGTAGTCAAGTGGTGCATATGTCGTTATTTCCAACCCATGAATGCTTGTTCACTTCTTATACCTTCTTACCGACCTACTTATATATACTGTTCTTTACCAACTCCCATGTTTTTTGCTGATCCTTCATATATCGCCCAGGCTACTGTGGTAAAACATTTTTACTTGCATCACGAGGTGCTAGGATTCTATAAACCTCGTATCAAAACAACTGAAACATTGAACAAAAAAATAAACAGCTTGTCTGTGTAAAAGAGACAAAAACAAAAGATGAGGCGGTCATTTTTCACACGAAAGTTCCTGCAAATTGGATGTTGTCTTACTTGTTCTGATGTCATTATTCACAGATGCCAAAAAATTTAAATACACTTTTGTGCTTCCGAAATAGCCCTTGCGCGTTGTTGAAGTTATTCAGGATTATAAGCTGTAGTAATACAATTATCACAAAATCATAGGCAATTTAATTATTGTCTCAAAGAGAAGCCTGATTTAACATGACTTATCAATCTTTATCATTATAAATCACTCGCATTTTCCTGCAAATTGAATAAGGAAAGCCCAATTACGAAAAAAATCTATTATTCAACTTTTAGTCAGTGAACCCTGAAGAGTTACATAATCAACTTTTACTACAGGTTAGAAATGCAGCAATTAGGAAATTAGATTGCATGATCTAAATAAGGCGATTCGTTCCCATGATTTTCATAATTGAATCAGGTGACAAATGCTCCCAATACATGTAGGATTTCGTCTGGTGTAACGGCACGCATTGCAGTTTAAAGTGCTTCTAGACTAAAGAGAGATTTTCTAAATAATAAGGGCAACTTCATTTTAGTCTTCCTGAATTTAATACACCACTGGCATGTGAGATCGTTTTATTTTGCAAAATAATCCCATTACGTAAAGAGGAAATCTCACCCAAAGACATACTTGAGTTATGCACAAAAAACGGATTTATCACCTAACAGAAATTAAAATTCAACAAACTCAAATGATACTTTTAATATTGTAACATAAAATATCAATTAGGCATCAAAAAAAAACTCGCGAAATCTGGTTTTACAGACTGAAAGTCATTTAGATACTATTTAATTTGAATATCTAATCACATTTTAAGAATTAACGCTTGTAAGAAGATGCAACTAATAGTAGTCTTGCCAGCTTGCACATCTATTCCCCAGTGCATCATACAAAGGAAATATGCAAAACTGCAATTCACTGAAATGACATTTTTGATGTTTCGAGCGAATAATCTGAAATGAGGGTCTGTGGAGGACCTTTGAACCTATAGGAAAACGCGCTAGCATATTTGTCTCTGCTTCTGAATATAATGGTGCAAGTCTGGGGTGCCTTAAGTTGTGAAATTACTGGAGGTCGATAAAAATGCTAAAGTGACAGCGACATTTAATTATTTTTATTTAAATGGGTAGACCACTTGGACCCAACTACATTTTACTCCTTCTTCGATTCAACTATTTATTAATAAACGAAACTGTAACCATTTCAAAAGCAACACTGCCAAAAAATCTCTGCAGATATAATGGTCGTGATTTAACAAGTACAAGTACAAACTTGACAGGCAACATTATGGGAACCGCAGTGCGATACTCCGGTTCTAAGTAAATCAAAAGCGCTACAACTTTTGTATATTTGAATTTGGATGGAACCCTTCACCATTAACGTCATGAACTGATGTGTTAAATTTATAGAATATTGTTTTGGTACCTACTATGGTATCTATTGTGAAATACTTATAATAGGTGTTCAAACAATCATTAGGGTCAAAGCCAATGTATAGCTTTTACTCTTACTCATCGCAAGTAAATTTGGGGAAATTATGTAAATCCATTAGACACCAAATAACAGTGTATTATCGTTTGCATCATTTTAATCATGCAGCAGGCATTTTGTGAGAGGCCATTGTAGAATACATTGGAAATTTAATCTAAGAAGCGCGTCAAATTGAAACTCAATGTGAAATAATTAATCGAAAAGTAAGTACTACCTTACCTCACTATAACTATTAACACAAACTCGCATTCTAAAGTTTATTTTCAACATTATTTCATAAATAACACGCACAGACGAATTTGTACCAACATAGGTAAGAGAAATTCAGCAAAAACCAATGCATCTACAACAAAAGTTAGATTATCGTCAAAATGCCAGGATTAACTAGATTTGCTCTGAACCGTCAATTGAAAGGATCACAAAATCAGTGATATAAGTACAACTGGCCAAACGGTAAAGAAATAAGTCACTTTTAGGGAAAATCGCCCAGTATTAAAAATGTTTGTTCGGGCATACAGTTAGTTCGAGCACATTATACATTGTCTGCGCCAAAATTTGCGTAACTCGCAAGCTTATCTGTTTACTAATGGCAGCAGTCGAATTTCAACCAAGTTGGCCACTTTATGATTGCGCGTTCAGCTGCTTTCCTCAAGTCACTGAAAATCGTAAAAGTAAACTTACGTATTTCAAACGAAATGGAATATATTTCTATGTCCGAGACTGTAAATTAGTTGAAAGCGCCTAATTTTCATTTAAATTTTGCTTGCAAATAGTTAAACAATAAAGCTGTTTCTGTAAAAAATTAATTTATGTAAAATTTCCTGTTTCTCTTCTTCTAGGTGATTAATGAATGTTGTCAAACACTCAATATTGTGATATACACTTTGCTTCATAAACAAAATGGAAAAAAAATATAAGATAGAAGCATCTAAATTAAAATAACGGATATTTTACCGGTAATGGAAGTATAATTTTGTTTACTACCTCCAATAATATAATTTCAAGGTAGGCTTCGTTGTCCGCGGTAGTTGTTTCGACAGTCTTAAAGTCTTGACCACGAATGGCTGCGAGGGCGATAGAACCCGCTGCTGAGAAAAGATCTTACAAGGTTGCATTGATTACCGGGATTACAGGACAGGTAAACAAGTTTTATCGTCACTTCTTTGCTTGTAGGATGGATCATACCTTGCAGAACTCCTGCTATCAAAAGGCTATCATGTAAAGGCTTCTTTCGCTTCTTATTGAAGTTATAGGTTCATGGCATTATACGTCGGTCCAGTTCTTTTAATACACATAGAGTGAATCATTTGTATCAGGATCCAGTGGAGTATGGAGATAAACGTAAAGCCGTTTATATATGTCATGGGTTGTAGAAACATTCTTTCTACATTATGGCGATATGACAGATAGCTCTAACCTTTCTCATCTGATGTCGAAAATAAGACCAGATGAAGTGTACAACCTTGCAGCCCAGTCTCACGTCCAAGTGTCCTTCGAATTAAGTGAATATACAGGTGATGTCGTTGGCATTGGCACCACCCGCCTTCTTGAAGCTATAAGGTCAGCTGGGTTGGAGAAGACAGTTAGGTTCTACCAAGCCTCAACTAGTGAACTTTATGGAAAAGTAATGGAAATTCCCCAAACTGAAAAGACGCCATTCTATCCGCGTTCCCCTTACAGTAAGTTTTGGTTATTTTAAAATATATGACGGAAGTTCGGCCTCTATAAATTTCCATTTTCTCCAACATAGGTGCTGCAAAGTTGTACGCTTACTGGATTGTTGTTAATTACCGCGAATCGTACAACATGTTTGCTTGTAACGGAATTCTGTTTAACCATGAAAGCCCTCGACGCGGGGAGACCTTCGTTACTCGAAAAATCACCAGGGCTGTCGCACGCATCAAGCACGGGAAACAGGTTTGTACATGAATGCGCTTCTTGAAAAACTTTATTTCTCAAAGATCGCTTTAATAGCATCGGTTGTGTTCAGACCAACATTCATCAATGTGGCTATTCAAATGACCTCATGCAAGTTTGGGTTTTATTTGTTTTGATAGAGGACATGGTGGTGTGGTTCACAAAAGTAATCTTTGTAAATAGTTATCCATATTGCTTTCATGTATTTTCAGCAGTTTGTTTGATTCTTGAGGACGTTTATCAAGTTGCTGGATGGATTTGTTTTTTGGGAGGATTGTAGACTCGATCTTCCACAGAAAGATTGGATCTTATTTTAAAAATCCTTTCGGCTCTTTCTGATTCCTCCACCATTAAACAGTAGATTTTGTTGCCGTTTTGACAGGTCCAACCTTTGCGCGTTTTTTTAATATTTGTTCAATGACGTTTTCAAAAACATGCAATATTCCTCAAATGTTATGTCTTTTCTTCCAGCAATTAGTAGAATTGGGCAACTTGAACGCTGAACGCGATTGGGGCTATGCAGAAGATTACGTTTACGCCATGTGGCTAATGTTGCAGCAGGAGAAGCCGATGGACCTCGTTATTTCTTCAGGAGAAAAGCACAGTGTTCGCGAGTTCGCTACAAAGGCATTCGCTCGTGCTGGCATTGATATAGTGTGCGTTGTGATTCTTCTATAAATTAACATATAATGTGCTGTCGGCTATTTACAGTGGGAGCCCAAAGACAGGAACTGATAGCAACAGTTTACCTGAATTCCTTTTGCAAATACTGTCAAACTCCCACTTCGCTATGGGGTATAAGGAAAGGCCACAATCAATATCCAGTTAAAATCTAGGTTAAACGTAGAAATGCCTTTAGTCTCATTGTTAAAATTAGCTCACATAACCAGAGACACCATGAATTGCCACGATATGCGCATGTCGTAAAATTCAAGTAGGAAAGTCCTCAGTCTAATCCAATTTTTTAAACCAGTTACATCAACTTTTGATGATTTAAGGGAATGGGCCCAGAAGACATGTCGAATTTTAAAAGAACGACGTGACGCAGGCTCTTTAGGCAGAGATCCGTCATATATTTTTGTGAAATTCATTATACCTTTATTACTGTTTACTTCTTGGTGTTACAGGTGGGAGGGTCAAGGACTTAACGAGGTTGGAAGAGATAAAGCTACGGGAATAATCCGAGTGCGCGTCAACCCCACATACTTCAGACCTACAGAAGTGGTAAGTTAAACTGATGCTGTGGATTTTCTGGGCACTTTGGTGAATTATGCCACATTTTCAGGATTCCTCCCAGAGTTCGTTATGTCTCAAGTATGTCCAGGTAGTTGAACTAAAGTTTGTGCCTGCGGAGCAGTCTAGAAATAAACACCACGCCTGATTGGAGTGAATTAGTCAAAACTGTGGATTGTTTAGAAAACAATTGTTTATACCTAGTGATATGTGTCACAATGATTGGAGCCGATGTAGAATACACGATATCGGGTTGACCTTAGTGGCGGCCAAAGTATACAACCAGCAGCACCAGAGTCAATGTCGCAATGTTAACAAAACAGAGGCAAGGAAAATTCCGAGGTAAACTAACTACCAATGCAACTTGTCACTTCCAACTTTTTGTAATTTGTGAAGGGTCAGGCGCCAAGATCCTGCTGCCATCAAAACCCCGTGTTCTTTTCAACTCGTGACTGGTGTGAATTACGAACAAATAATAACTTGATGGCTTTTCTGATTAATTGGAGCCGTCTATTATGTTAACTGTAGGAGCTTCTAATCGGAGACTGTTCGAAGGCGCAGAGAGAACTCAAATGGGTTAGGAAGACGGATTTTGATTCTCTAGTCAACTTAATGGTGGATGCTGATATGGCGCTGGTTATGAAATCAAAGTGACGGGATCCACCTGCTTCCACATTCTTGTCCTTGATTGATTGATATTTCTCTTTCCTTAGTTATTATACTTCTGTCGGAATAAATTTTTGATATTTGTACATCAAACTTGTTGAAGAGATTTGGGAGACAATTTGACTGAGGTGCTTTTAAGTAAAAGACATCATTTTCATCCATTTTAGTGCCAGTTTACGCTCCTGGTCTTGTCAATAATGCTGTTTTATTGGTATGCACTCGTGATGCGTTGATTTCATGAGGTCTATCTCTGTTTAGGTGTCGATGCTACGATTCTAGCAGCCACTTTATTCCTGAGCGAAATTTTCATGACGCTGGGCGTGTAGCTGATGTTGGTGTACTTAGGAGGAAATCTACTTGTGCATTAAGATTAAAAGTAAGTCACTGCAGTTCACACGCTTAATTCGAAAGACTACGAAGTGGACTTGCAATGCTGAGACCTTGTCTTACAAATCGCAACTAACTGAGGTCCGAAGCGGTTGTAGTAAAGCGACCTAGGCTTGCATCTGGCTGGGTGCCTTAGCCCAATGCACCAGTGTCGAAAGGTTAATTTCAATTAAAATAGCAGAAAATCACAACCATGAAACTTGATCAGGGCCTTCTTGCACGTCCTCCGACCTCCCGAATTTCAGCTTTGAACCTCACTAAAATGTTTTTTGGCCGAAACCGTAGAAACCAAAAAAAAACCTTTCACGGTTCCAAATCCTACATTGCGTAAACTTCGTAACTACACACACAACACTATCGCATTTTGGTTCATATAGCCGAGAGTTTGTGTGCCATGATCCATTAAACTTAATTCAAATGATGTCAGTGGTGGTTAGGGGAAGCCCTGGATCTCAAACGGCAGAAGACTCCTCAACACTGTTTCGGCACAAGCAATTAACTTGTAATCAATTCATCAGGGACTTTAGGTGACTCCTGTGACAAAACTGCAAGAGCTCAGTTACCCCTCGTCAAATTTCGGTAATCCTGATAAAACGGGTCACTCCACGTGACATGATAATTGGGCACATTGCGGGGCCAAAGTTCTGCTTGAAATGAACTTTCGAATTCGGATCTTGTTCAATTTCGTGATGAACTTAATCCCAACAAATATGACACTTGTCACGTTATTGTTCACTTGTGTCCACTGTTTTAATTCTAATTCTCAGTGAGGACCACTCACAACTCGCTTACTTGTAACGTGCCATTCGGTCAATGCACGGCAGTCTGGCCCGTCCTTTACCCTCCCGCCATCCCGCCTTTATTCTATCCGCACCTGTGGGCCTGCAAGTCAACCCTGGCTCACCCCCCCACGGCCATCCTCTCATTCTTCCTGCACTAACCCTCTCCCTTCGCTCTTTCCTTTCTGCCGTTGTGTACGGTAGTCTGGAATAAATAAGGTTCCTTCTACTGGTCTTCTGTCGCATGCTTGGAAGTCAAGCGTGATGGTGTGGCCATAACGGGGGGAAAAACTATGTTGTGGGCCCCAGCATGTGGTCTTGAAGCACGCCGGGACCAAGGAATCAACCCTGGCCCGATCACTTTTCCCTGATACCCACAATGAGGAAAGCGACCGGAGATGACGTAGACACAACTGTTTACTTCAGAGCTCAACCTCGTCGGTGTCGTTGTGTCGTGTGTGGGGTTTGCGCGTGTGTATTTATAGCTCGGATGTGTTAGTCATACATGCGCTAACATCGAGGCCTAGGTGTGGGGATACTCCAAGATAAATATTCGTGCTAATGAAGAGGGAGTTGAGGATTCGCGAGGCTAGCGACATGCTGCGACAAGGGGAACCCTGTGTAGGAGGTGCAGCGACCGAATTAAGGGGTGTGAATAAGCACGAGTCACAACAACTAATTGTAAACTGCCATTTTGGGTCTCTACCCAGTAGACACGTTATGGACTGGACTGGCAAATCACGATTATCCTCAGAGAAATTTATAACTGCTGTCCAACTATTTATTGCATACTTCAACTACATGAAGTTTGTCTTTGCAAAATTTATTGCTAAAACTAACATGCTCAGGCTGCTCATAGTTCCGAATTTCCTTTTTTTTCACTTGAGGTGAATGTGTAGACCTCAAGTGTTCGTTGAGGGTTATTGCTTCGGCTAAATTATTTCACATAAATTGAAACTAAACCTACGTTTCGCTTCTGCATTTGTAAAATTGTAAACCGACGCCAAAAACAACAAATTGGTGATTCAGGTTAATTAGTGTTAAACCTACAATTTGCTGCACCTTGTACTGCAAGTGGAGGGTCAAAAACTTCGCGAAATCGGACGAAATACAGCTGCAATACTATTCCGAGTGCGCTTTGACTCCACCCACATCATATGTACTGAAGTGGTAGACTAAACTGATGCTGTATTTTCTGGGTTCTTCATGGTCAAGTTCGTCCAGCTTGTTGGACAGTAGCCGGTGCCTATAGAGAAGCCAAGAAGTAAACATCACGCCTGACCGACGAAAATTTGTCAAAGCCTGTTTAGGATAAAATTGTTTATGCATCGTGGTATGTGTCACAAAATAGTTGGGGTGGCTAGAAGATGAACGTTATCGGGTTGGTCGTCGTGGCGACTAAAGCATACAACACGCAGCACCAAGGTCAATGTCTCAATGTTAACAAAACAGAGGCAAGGAAAATTCCGAGGTTAACTTTCACTGCCACGCGGCGTTGTTAGGGATTTAGTGAGGGTTTTCTGTAGGCAGACCTGCTGAACTGGTTCTTCGTTCTGCAAATGTGGCATTCGTTTAAAGTTGTTTGAATTGATTGCAGTGTTGCAGGATAATTCAGTTACACATTTTGATAAAAGCTGTGTTGGCATTGTCAATGTCAACACAGACAAGAGTTTATTTTACAATCATTAAGGTGTTTTTCATCATTGTTATCAAAAGATGTCACTACAGATGTATTGTCTGAAAGACAAAGGAGCTGACTCATGTCTGAAATGTATGGGTTTAACTTAAAACCTTTTGAAATCGAGAAGCGTTGCATTTAAGGAATTAATAATTCAAATAATTTTTGTGTTTTGGAGGCTTTTCGATTGACTTGAATTGTGTATGGTGTTAACTGTCGGGACTTCTAATTGAAGACTGTTCAAAGGTGCAGATGGAATTAAAATTGATTAAGAAGACGGGCATTGATTCTCTTGCACGGTTTTTACCAAACATTTAAAGGTTACTCCTTCCATATCTGATGTTCTGGTTTATTGTTGAATGTTGCAATAAAAGGGCAGAGTAGAATCGTTCAAACTTGATTTTTGGGGCAAAATATTTGTAACTGGATTATCTTAGTGCTTTTTATTCCAGCTCATTCGCATATTGCATTTAAGTTTATAAAAAATTCTTGTTTTGCTCTTTTGTATTAGGCGTGCAATTATTATTTACCAGCATCTTTTTTTTCATTGATTCCTCAGTTTTTTAAATGCAATGTCACCCTTTTTGTCAAAGCATCATTTGCTTAACTTTATTCGCTTTATATAGAGAGTACTGTGAATCGCGTTAATTCGTATTTGTTAATCCGTCTACTTCAGACTCTGACACAGGGTTCCCCGTATTGCAGCAATTCTTAACTCCCCCTCATAAGCGCGAATAAATACCTTAGATTATCCTCAGACCCAGATTTCGATTTTAGCCCATCCAGGCTATAAATACACTCGCAAACGCCACCCAAGACATAACTAAACCAATATGGTTTAGTTTTTTTCCATCGTGGGTAGCAGTGAAGGGTAAACGGGGAAGATCCAACTAAGTGGTCCCGGTGTGGTTCAAGATCCCATGCTGTGTTGTCACAACAGAAAATCATTTATAAGTCATGGCGATTTGTATTATTTTTTCCGAAAATTGCTCTTGTTTTTTTTACATGAAACCATTTTTATAAAAAAGACAATTATTTATTGCCAGTAAATAGTTAGTCGCTGTGACCTAAAAGAATCATTATTAAATTTTTCAGGTTGAAAACCGGACTTGAAAATTAGTTATATACTGTGAAGTTCAAGTGCAGCTATGTTTTAGAAATATTTTAGCCGTCTACTGGAAATATTATCAACTGAACTTGGGATTGCACTTTCTATCATCTCGAGTTATAAGCGAATTCGGTCACATAGTTAAACATCATTTTGCTGTCAACCCATTAATGAGCCTAAATCAGACATAAAACCAATTGAAAAACATACATTTTGCATAGCGCGCCTTGAACTCATGACGTGTTAGTGTGTAATATGGATACACATATTTGCAGTGTCACAGATATGTTCTACTCGTATGAGGTACCTATTCTCCATTAATAACTATACTTTGATGCATAGGGATCACATATTAATTTATAGCATTTAGGTATCTGACATAAATTCTGTAAATATAGTATTTATAAGATTTGCCTAATGTCAAATAATCAGTTTAGTAGAAAATTCAATTTGTTGCAGTCTACGCCAACTTAGGTAAGAAGCATTTATTCCGTCCTTGAATGATATATTTTAAACTCAGCTGAATTTCTACGAAGTTAGAAGATACCTTTATAGAAAAAATAAGATTTGTAGATGTTCATTGTTTCACCTACTATTTTTGCCGCGCGCAATTTTGTATATTTTTTCCAATAGGTTGGTTTTGTTTTTTGTAATCTCTGGTATTTACGTGAAACGCAGCATCATGATAATGTTAGGAACACTTTAATCGCTCGCGTTTGTCATGCAATCAATATAATTTAAGGCATTTGGTCTTGTTCGCACTATTAATACTTAAAAGCTGTTTTTTACTATAATTTATCTTTGCCGTGTTGTTAAAATCGAGTACCACTTCCCCTTGTTTCGGTGTTAGTGGAATTTCTGCCTGTTTGCACTTGTTTTCTGAATGTCATCCTCAGCCGTATTGGACTTGCATTGTCTTTGGTTGGTAATGTTGGCTTCTGATAAGCGGTTATCTAATGCCAATGTAAGTGTTACAGTCTCGTAGTTGTCTGGATTCTGCCCTCATTGAACTTCTCTTCGACGAACCAGATTATGAGACCTAATCACTTTGCCTTAGCAAATGCAAATCTATATCATATTTATGTTGATTATTTAGTAGACATTTTTGACCTACCAGTCTCTGGGTGGTCATAGATCCAGTGTTTTCCGCATTAGCGATTTCGACTAATTGGAGTGCCCATGTGTCAATGATTTTTGTAGTGATTTTTATCTCAACATCTTTCTCATTCTAAGTGTTTGTTTCTGACGTTAAACCTCGCGGTCAAGATTTTTTTCTGTGTCAATGAACATGGTGCATCTTGTAAAGGATCATTTAAGCCCTGCTTATTTAGCATTACACACTTCCGGATATTGCTTATTTCTTAAATAGATGGCGTAATGTATTACTTTACGCATTCACCTACGATTGTAACTGATTTGCCAAAGAACCACAATTGCTGCCTTGCGGCAACGGATGACGAAAAGTTTGTTGCGGTATGTACAGATAATAAGATTTACTTCCTTTGCCAAAAGGTAAGCCTACTCTTTGTGATTCTGATTGGTTAGTCTCTTCACCTTCTTGGTCGATACAAATGTAAATCTCAAGTAATTGAAACCGGTGGTGACATTGTTTCCATTGCGTGGAATGCTACCGGCGATACTCTTCTTCTTAGAGTAAATCACTTGAATTTCTCACTCTTGTAGACGGCTCTGGGATTCCTTTGCTTTGTCTATTTAACAGTGATAGAATTAGACTTGCAGGACCCTGAACAGTTAGTCCGCTAATCTCTAATCCTGTCATGTCGACTGTAGTATTTCTCCAACCAAGCACGAAATATCAATCAAGAGCGTGAAATTTTTACGAAAACTTGGTCAAGTCGCTTGGTATGCAAATGCCTAGATTTACAGTTACCTGCTTATACGCAGTTGTATTCCTACATGCAACAAAATTATCGTTGGCAACCGTCGTGGCCGTATTGTGTGCTTAAATTGGTTCGGCGAAGTTCTTCAAAATGAGGGCTTCAATCTACACACAATTCCTGTACAATCTGAATTCGGCAACACTGCAGGTACTTATCTCCGTATACTAATCCAGCTTCTAGTTACGAGTCATATTGATTCCGCAGTCAACTGTAAATCCTTCTATTGGGCACCCACATTAGGAGGATTTCTCATTACTCTCACAAATGATCGGCTGCTTCTAGTAATCCTCCCTTTATCTCGACTGGATTCGGAGGTCTGTTTGTTTGCTCATTTAGAATGCTTATCTTTTATGTTAGCTTTTAAAAGCTGTTTGGCTGCCGTTTGTTGAAGACCCCACTGTGATCACAGTTAACAGCCGTTTTCGAACCTTTGCCGTAGGAACTTCTGTGTAAGTTGTAACCGATTGTCAGCTGATTGTCGCCAAGTTTTATGCCGAAATGAGTGATTTCGTCTGCGTTTACAGGGGCAATGTTACCGCCTACCGTCTTGATGAGATGTCCAACATGCCTATCATCCAACAAAACTTCTGCTTTCCCGATCCGGTCAGACATGGTGAGTTATAATAATGTACCATCCTATCTAACCTGGCCAAATCATGGCTGTATGATTTACTTAAAATATCATTTCGTTATGGAGTGTGGGTTTGAGAGGTTCCACCAATGACAGAACCCACAGATGTTCAAATTTCTATCCTTTCTATGGCATCTTTTTAGGTATCAACAAAATGCCTGGATCTGTGAAGGCAATGTCATGGTCTCCAGATGGCTACTGTCTTGCCGTCGCATGGAGTACCCACGGGTTAGCTCTGTGGAGTGTATTTGGGTCGCTGCTGTACTCCACCCTGCCCGATCAAATCGAAGTCACTCGGTTCTTATTTCCCCTCAGCTTTGTAAGTGTTTAAAACACTGCCTTTACTCGTTATTGGAGCAAAGGCATGAATTAAACAGTAGTGGCGTGAGCTATTGTGGGTTATTTAACGCACAGTTTGCTGAACTGTTAAGTGAAGATTACTGTTAGCATATTTGAACAATAGTACCGACAGTTGTCAAAGCGTCAACTGCCGATCGGTTATTCACGCTATTTAATTTCTTGTCATGTAAAATGTGCGAAATAACTGGAGTTTTCTGTTAGTATGCTTCTGTCTACTAATGTATCGAGGCGTTTTGCTAAAAAAATACCGCATTTATTTACACCGCATCAGTAGTCCTTGTGTGTACTGACCCAATTTCAACTCCCCGCACGTTCGTGTCTTTATCAAATCTTGTAAATCGTTTTTCTAAGTCCCGTAATTTCTTTTTCAACGAAACGCACTCTGCGTTATTCTTGCGGTTGTAACTTTTGCATCTGATTGAACAACTTGATTAATTAATATGCGTGGATCGTCGGCGATGTTAGCTTGAATAAAAATCTTCTGTCCTAATTGAATGGAACTTTCTGCAAAACAAAGATTTTCTTATGGGAACCAAGATTGATTTCTTAATTTTCAAAAAATAGCAGTCACATTTCCGATTGCGAAAACGCGTTATTTTGAAAATTGTATTTTTAATTCCTGATAAAATTCCTGTTTAATTTTCCCGTGTTTTACAATGTTTGCACATTTTTCTCAGTATTCGTTTTAAACACATTCAGAACACACGAAATGCACCAAAAATTGTCTTTTGTGAAGTTGCTACTCTTTGCGCTTTGCATTAAAAACCAGTTTTTCCGTCTTGTGTTTATGTAAGTTTCGTGTCTTTTTCGGAGTGCTAAAAATACGTCATGGTCGTGCAATGTAAACTTCACTTGCACTGTTAGGAAAATTTTACCGTTCTTCGCATTTCAGGTAGCCTCAAGTGTCAGTTGCAAACTGCGTTTGTCTAAGTAACCCACCAAGGCGCTAATTTGTGCTAGTTCTGTGATAATTACGAAGTCTCACGTTTGAACAGTCAATTACTTCCTTGCGACGCATATGCAGGAAATGAGTTTTCCTGTCTGCAATGCAGTGCTTGGTGAAGGATGGTATTTCAGTGACGCGTGGCTTCGAATCGTTTTCTTTTTTCTGGAACTTCAGTGCTGGACGCTGAGGGGCTTTCATCTGTGGACGGTGTCGAGTTTCATCGATGACCCGGACAGACGTGCACGAGAAGAAAACTTGGCTGCTTTTCGCGAGCGTCTGATGCAGAATTGCAATGCGCTGCCCTCAACCCAACGCCAAATCGCCATCAACGTGGCGAAAATGCGCGCGGATTTGGGTTTGGATGAAGATGCGGAGCTAGAGGACCAAGTCTCGTCCAACTCAAAGAATCAGAATTTTCTCATGATCTTCCACCTGGCCAAGTCGGCTTTGGTCTCGAATCCTACATCGGTTCGTCGTTTGTTTTATGTGCAAACTAGTCATCCGCTTAGACGTAATTGGTGTTATTGCGCAATACATTTGTCAGACCTGTGTAGTGGGTTTACAGTTCACTGCCAGAGCATTGACGCTGATTAAATTGCTGCTTGGCCAAGTTCTGGTGGTACAGCTAAATTTCATTTTGAATTCTGGCAGATCTCATAAACCTTCTATTTGCGTTAATATCGTTGAAAAAATGCATATTATTTCAGATCTTCTAATTCACTAAAACGTAGTTAAGAGATGAGTTACTCCAGTTTGATCAGTTCAAGATAGCTCACAACGTATCTTTGTTGGACGTGGCTATGTGATTGAGTTTGTGGTGTTTAAGTGTCGTACTACAACCATTTTGTAGCGTGGATGCTTTTGTTGACAGAAACAGATTAGACCGATAGGAAGAGCAAGAAAAGGCATGTAATAACGTGAATTATTGTTCTAGATCATTGATGTACCTAGTTTTTTTAATGAAAAAGTCTGCTTTTTCAAAATCTCATCACGTTCTGCGGTATTCTAATTTATTCCACAACACGCGTCTTCATTGTTTGGGTGAAAAAATATTATGACAATATGGTCATACGTAAGCACGCAGATGCTATGTACAAAACCTCAAAACGTGCTTCCGATACCATTCAAAACGGTTCAAAGTTGTTTTTTGATGTCTGTGAGGCCTTTCGTTGACAACGGGTTAGTAAATTTCTTAACTATAAGTGTATGTGTGTGTGTGAGAGAGAGAGATAGAGACACTGCGTTACCATTGCACATGGTGACCTTTTATTGGGCATAAAGTTCTATCTAGATTTACCGTAAGCATTGAAGGCATGCAACTGCATTAACCGTTTCGTTTTGTGTGATTACGACCCAAATAAGTAGGTCCTTTGTCGTAGCATCACAAATCTGACACCATTTTCCCCCCACTTACAGTCGTTTTTATCTGGTTCTTGAAAACTTAAACTGATCAGCTGGCAGGTTACGCTTTATTGATGAGCTAACTGATTGTCGTTGTTTGTCAATCAGTTTGCATAACAGAGCCAGGCCTCCTAAAGCAGACTGTAAACTGCTTTCCATCATCGTTGAAATAGTCTAAACAATTTAGTTACAAATTCAATAACATTTATGCCTCCCATGGTAAAGAAATCAATTTGGTCTGTTTTGGACTGACCCGTGTTTTCCCCTATTACCACTGAGTGATGTTGCCTGGAAATCTCAGACTTACGTAATTGGTATGCGCGCGGTAAATAAATAAATAGTCTGTAGATTGTCATGTAAAGAAAGCCAGTTGTTCGTCTTCACTTTGGACACCTGTTACAACATGAAGACCTCCGGTGTAGTGAGCTGTCAAAGTTATTGACTGGCGAGCCTGTAATTACAGCTCCAAAGGGGAGAGAGGGAGAGAGAAATGTCGCTGTGGTTGTCAGGGTACAAACGTAGATTTAGTTCTATGCTTTCGGTTGCAGGATAACCATTTGCACCTGCTGTTTTGTACCCCGGACACCCTGTTTGTCACCGTGCGACGGTTCCTGCACTCTCGGCGAAACATGCTCCACATCCCTGTGCCGCAGATTTACATCCGCGCCAATTTTCCCGTCAAGGTATGTGCTATTGACAGGACCGAATAGTCATTTAAGTATATATGCACCTTGAAGTGGCACAGGTCAAAACGTCTACCATCAAACCGACATCCGAATCGGGCACGGCCCGACAGGAGGTGGGTACTTTTGGCGGGGTGTGTAGTGCAAACCCTGCGGCACTCGGTCAGCCTCGGTGTTGACGTGAATTGGCCTTTCTCTGTTCCTAGTTCGCCGCTTTAAACACAGTGGGTAGTCATTTGGTTGTCGCTGGTCGTCGGGGCCTCGCTGTCTGCTTCCTCTCTTCCCTTCAGTGGCGTCTCTTCGGCAATGTCACTCAGGTATGTCTGACCTTATGTTATCTTATTCGATTCAAACGCCACTTGCTTTGTCAAGGTAGGTGGTGATTTTGTGGGTCGTGTCCTCGTGTATTGGGTTCGGTCTGTAACGAATTGAATTCAAGCGCAATTTCATAGTTCCCTTAACCTTTTTTTGCTTTCACTGTTGCGAAATTGGATTTAAGCACAGAGGAATGTACTTAAAGACTACTAGGCCCTGTGCCACAAAATCGGTGAAGCTGATTGGTCGCTCTCTCCTCCACCTTTTGCCTCTACTTTTTTTCTACAGGAACAGGCCTTCGAAGTCCACGCCGGCTTGGCCTGGTGGGGTCGATTCATTTGCTTATGCGCCTTCAACCATAGTGCAAGTCATTGTGAGGTAAATGGATCTCTTAAAAATCTTCGTTGGTTGGACTGTTTTTCAACCGGTGTTTCTTCTTCAAGATTCGATGCTACCCCAGTACAGAGAAGTTGGACGATCGCTTTGCGTCGATTCTTGCGCTAGACAACTCCATCCGCCCTCTACTGCTCGATGTCGTGGGCGACAGACTAATTCTTTTCTCCACCGATAGCCACTATCGATCTTTCACCCTGGCTCCTGGAACCAAGTCGCCTGGTTAGTGAAGTAACAGCTTTCATGACGTCGATGGTCTTTTTCGCTTTTAACAGTGCTGGGGCGTAGAACTGTGGCGGTGACCCGCTGGTGTGACTCATTGGTAGAACGAAGTACATGTCTATGGGACGTGTGATTCAAAATCCAGTGTGGAGCCTCCTGATTTTCACACTTTTACTGCCAAGTGCTTGATTCTTAGTTCTTGATTCACCTGTATCACTAAGGCACGTTGAGCGCTACCGACCTGAAAGTGAGTGGCGTCCGATACAGCGGATTTATTTGCCACCAGTTTTAAGTGAATTATTTTCACTCAAATCAGCTGTTTACAGAGGATCTTTTTGTTGTTTCGTTTTAGAAGTTGTGATAACCCCGCACTTTGCTTTCAACCTTTCATCGTTCTTTCCCTATGCCTACTGCCTCACGCGGATTTGCCCTTTCGCATTGCAGTCCCATCACCCCAGCCTGCAGTCCAACTTAGCCCGCGGTTAGTCCTCTCCACTTCCAAATGTTTTGTGTCTTTTATGACATCTGTTGCCTTGACCATTATGCTGTGGGCCCCGGTATGTCGTCTAAACCACGCCGAGGCCACTGCGTCAATCTAGGCCTATTACGTTTCCCTGAGTACCCGCTGAGATGAAAAAGACCGGAGAGGACGTGGCACAGCCGTTTATAAGACAGCTAAACCTAGTTTATTTTGCTGTGTTGACTGATGCAGTTGAGTGGGCTAGTTAAAATACGGAAGTCTGAATGATCACATGGATAGGACGGGTAGTGGTCGTGTGGTACATATAGAGGGGTGAACGAGCAGGCGGTGCCAGTGACGCCGTGAAAAGGGGGGCGTGTGTGTGAGGCTGCGACGACCGGTTTAATGGATGTGAATCAACACAATTCGCTGCAAATGTATTGAGTGTGTTTTGGAGGTAATTTTGTCACTTCCCCTTTTATTTACCACTTTTTTTTACTACGGATCTTTTCATTTTCTAGATGATCACCATTCGCTTCCTGCAAGGGCTGAAGACGACGGCACAATTCTTGTTATCTACGCCGGCAACCTTCTACTCTTCCCCAAACTAGTTTCGTCTTTAGTTGAATCGAATGGTGCCGAGAGTAATGCCGCATTGGGAGGCTTCCTCGGGTTTGTGACTAGGCAGGAGACGACTCCTAAAAAATATGTAAGGTGGTCGAGCCAGTGCAATGCCAAATTAAGTGGTTCATTCAATTTCAATCGACTTTTCCATCAGCTGTCTGTCTGTGCCAACTGGGACAGCTCCATTTTGAATTCCATTCACTTATGAAAAAGATTTCTTTGCATTTGACTGGGTGCAAGCGAGACCATTCACCTGAACCCCAGCATGCAATATTATCCTTCTAAAAGTTTATCTCAAAGAATGCCATCTTCGCTTTTAAAATGTATTCAATAATTGATATACTCTCGGTTACCCTAACTAGTCATATATTTCTCCGTGTCTGTGTCGAGTTGACGCAGTCATTATTTAAAATAAACAACCAACTAGATATCCAGTGCTTTGGCCAGTCATTAAGATGTGGCTGAAAGTCATGGGACGAGGTCGCTTCGTTTTAGTGGTCGTTTATTTTGTTACCTAGCGGGACTCCTTCAATCCCACCCTGATCGCCTCCAACGTAGAGTTTCTATGGGCCTGCACAACCACACCGGCAACATCCACCTGGTCTTCATGTCCGGCTCAAAGGTCGACTGAAAGTCCAGAGACCAGTGATGATGATGGCGATGATGATGCTACCGAGAAAGATTATTCTACAGCAATTTCGTCCCCCGAGGCTGTAACCCAAGCTATTCCCTTGCTCAATGGCTCAATCTGGCTCCATTGCGGCGCCGATGGAGTGAAGATTTGGTTTCCTCTGGAGTTGGGCGTCGTAAGACAACCCTCAGGGGGACTACCTGAGGTCCCGCTTTCTCCGAATTTTGATAAAAAAGCGCAATTCAGTTACCTTCCTCCGGCTACCTCAACGAAGGCTTCGAGGCGCGTGATGCTTTCCCTGAGGCTTAATGGACTCACTTATCCCTTAAGTATGTTGCCCTCGTTCCGTCTCCTTTACCCAGCCACTTGACGAGTGGCTATAGAATGTCCACTGGTGTGTAGTTACTTCTACGGATGTTCGGTTCCAGCAGACGTCCCTAACAATCAAGCATCTTGAAACTTAAAGTGTGATATGCCCGTGGTAGGTCTTACCTTTAGTGAGTTAAGCTAATTTCGTTTAGCTGTACTGCACCATCATGGACCGTGTCTACCCCTAATCCGCGGCAGGTGTTGGCAATCGCTTTCAACCGTAAAAACTGTGGATGTGGGACCTTTATAACTTGTCCTGGTATCTGGTCTATGACATTGCAAGAGTAGAGTTCTGCAAATATCTTGAAAACAGATGTCAAGCGATTACACAACACGCCCGATGACTATGTAACCTGGAGGCATTAGCGATAATAATTATTGAAATCTGTAGTCCTGTGTTAAAACCCCAAGAATTTTTAATTTTTTCCATTGTTGAGCTGTTGTTTCAATTCCCTTCTAGCCATTTTTCTCGACAAAGCTGTCGTTGTGACTATCCAAAGCGACTACCTGCGCACTGAACGGTCGTTTTCTGATACACTGGCCGATCCCTGTATCCAAATGCCGTTTTACTGTGTCCAGTTCAAGGTAAAAACGATGCTATTCTCCTTCCACTATTTAGTGTGATGAATAGATTGGGCTTTTAAAATGGCTTCTAAGCCCGCCGAAGCCTCTCTTCGTGAAGCTGGTACATTTAGGTTCTAGTTCGAAAAAAATAAACATGGTTTATTGACCACCTTTCTGTGCTGTAGAGGTAATGTGCTCAGAACCTACGCTGACAGCTCAGTTGAGTCGCTGTGAATTCATCCACAACTATAGCAAGATCTGATCACGTTAAGTTCGGCCAATCAGATTTACTTTCCAACGACCTTAGATTAATCGATTTTGCCTAACCACCTGTCTTTACACCAAGAAAATAACCAATCACCGTGGCTACCTGCATGACCTAGTCTTTCTACTCTGTCATGTTTTTTTTATCTAGACCAACTTGTTCCTACCACACCTGCTCAAGGATTTGTTGCTCAAAAAGTAAGTACCTCCTTTGGACGTGATCGTCGATTTTGGATGTTTTTTTTACCCGGTTTTGTAGTCTCAGATATTCTATGTTACAGTTGTATCCTAATTTTAGCTCTTCTAAGCCAATCTGTGGCCAAGTAGAATGACTCCTGTCATAAACTTCAACATTCAAGTCGTGTCTTTCACATCCCCAAACTTGGATTAATTGCATAATAGGGCTTCCCTCTGTGTTGAAATCTGTAAGCTAATACCAAATATTGGGGATCGCGCTTTTAGATCGTTTGTTTTACACCCTTCTTCCTTCGCTAATGTAATCAATCAATGGCACTGTTGCTGTTTTAGTCTATCTGGCGTGGCATTTGAACTTGCTTCTGCCTACCAACACCTCCCGTACTTCCAACACATTTTGGAGCTGCTCCTTCATGAAGTCCTCGAAGAAGAGGCTACTTCGAAAGTCCCAATTCCAGGTGTGATTTTGACCTCTTCCCGACAACTTTATCTATTTGGCCTACTCTCTAAGAGGCAGTTTGGTGGTTACCGTTCCTGTTTTCAAAGCTGCTCTTTATGCCTACGCGCATGATCGAATTCATACGTCCCCTTGGCCAATCCAAGTTTAATGCATAACTCCTGTAGTTTAAAACCGCTGCTCAATGTGCGGAACTTTTTATTTCATCTGTTCTGACGAAAATATAAAAGTCCGTTTCATATCAAACCTCGATCTCGATAGTTGGTCAAACATGGTGGCTCGCTAAAGTAAATGTCTATAAAAATGACACTGCTTTTTAGACCCACTGTTACCCCAAGTGGCCGCCTTCATTGAGCACTTTCCGCACTTTCTCGACGTCGTGGTCCAGTGCACCCGCAAGACAGAAGTTACTTGGTGGCGTCACCTCTTCTGCGCCCTGGGTCGCCGACCGAAAGACGTCTTCGACCAGGCCATGTCACTGGGTCAACTGGAGACGGCAGCTTCGTGTCTGGTTATACTCCAAAACTCCGAATCCCACGCGACCAGCAAGCAGGCATGTTGCTAGTTTCCTTTACACTTGGTATGCGTTAAAACCGACGCATTCAGCACGCCGGGATTGTCTTGTGCTTTTTTTCAAAAGTAAAGCGGTTTAAGGCATTGATTACCTTGAAACCAAGTCGAGTTTGTTTCTTGGTAGGGCGTGGCAGACAGCAACTTTTAAATAGGGAAATTTAACACGTAAATCCATTAACTTCTAAGGAATTAACATGCCAACATCGGTTGGTGCCGCATAGATTTGGAGTCAGTTTGCGCTAAAATGCACGTTTATGTTTACTTCGAACTTGGTAGCTAAGATTTCTGTGTTTTTTTTCAATTGTTCGCGGTTTCACGCTGAGATGCGTGCACGTGATCGTATGCCTTAATGGAGACCGTTTTTTTTCTTTTGCCTTGCGAAATCAACGTAACAGTCTTTTCCGGTCATGCATATACCATCACAGCTGTACGTGTCCTATGTAGAGCATACCCATAGTTGACCAGATTTCGATTGCTATAATTTTATTACACATTCCATTTGACTTCGTCTGCACGTTCTATGACCGCCCGATCGGGTCTCACCAGTTCTTCAGGCGGCAACGTCGACGGAGTGGCCTAGTCGATGATGTGGAATCCTCTGGGTTATCAAGCCAGCCGTGCTAATAGTTAGGGTTGCGTGTGTTCTTGTTATTTGCCATAGCAACGTCCTGAAATATGCACTATTTTCCAAGCGATTTACGTGTGTTCATCAGTGCATGTTTATTTTAGTGTGCCTTGATTCTGCTGGAAAAAGTAATCCAAGAATCTCACTGGCATCTCGTCAAGGACCTCATGCGTTTTCTCAAGGCCACAAGTAAGCTTCCACAGTCACCTGCCTGAGCTTTTACTCACCACGCCACCACTGCTTCACTCACGCCTACTTAGCTCGTATATTATTTGCAAGTTGACGCGTGTGTTGTGCTTGGGTTCTTTGCCCTTGCCAGCACCGTTTCTTGGTTCGCTTTCCAGCTAGAATATCCCAAGGGGAGGCCTTTGCATGGCAGTCACTTGCATCCGCATGGGACGTTTTCGTGAAGCCCTCATTTACGCCATTTTTTGGCGAAATTCGCGAGTAATTGAGTAATGAGTATTTTTCGTGCTTTTATCTTCGTGTTGTTATGCTTACTTAAGTACAGTGAACAGAAATGTGCAATTTGAAATGCCGACGAATTTCTACTAGTAAGGATTAAAAAGTGATCACTTAGGCCATGTAAGGGATTTCCCGAGAGAGTCTTTAACCTTTGCGTGGTGTCAATTCATTTTATGCGTGAATTTCGTCGCATGCTCCAGTTTACCCCTCGTTGCCAGGACCACGTGTTTTTGTAGCATGGTGTCTGGCATCTGGGCCTCAGTTTACTAGGACGCCTTGTGACCAAGGCGTGTGTTCAAATGAGTTCGTCTGACCGTCCCCCCTAGAGTCGGGATGTAACGTCTTGGTTCGTTAAAAGTGCCCCTCATTTGTGCCTCTAATAGTCTGTTTGGCATTGTCATTTCTGCAGTTTTTTTCCTGCATAGCTGACGACCTTCATGCCTAAGCAGCTGGGTAACTTCTTGTACGTATGTACGCATAGGTATTCTTCGATGTTTACCATTTTTGTGTCGTCGCACATCGACAGGGCTAAGCGAATGTGAATTTTCAAGGTCTCGGTCGTTGATTGGATTCCCAGCCGTCATAATTCGCTTTCCAAGTTAATTTATGTAAAAGTATGGAGGTCATTTCTTGGTAAATTGTTTGCAAAATCGATTTGGAACGACACTAGAAACATCCTTAAACTGGAGTCAGAAGTGCGATTTTCGGATGGATGGGTTGCATTTGTTTTCACATGTTTTCATTGCTGCATGGTTGAAACTTATCGAGTCTTCCGAAGCTATACAAATTAGGGCTACACCCATGTCTAGAGTTTTGGCGATGGCAGATATGACTTACTTCAAATTGAAAGCGTGCAAATAGTCATTGGGCATGTCGGATTTGTTTATTTCAAATCCGCGTTGCCTGTTTTGCTTCTTCTTCCTTTTTTTTTAAATTCTTTTACTCGTCTTGTAGCCATGTCTGAGAAATGCTCGTCTCCCCCTGCAAACGGAACAGAGGTGACCCTAAATGAGGTCGACTCCTTTGTTGAACGCCTCAAGTGCCGTTTCTTGAGGGAGGGGTCATGGAGGTCCCTGGAGGAGATATTTGCCAATGTGCCCCCACCGCCTCTACCCCCATCCCTGCTCAGTAGCCTGTCAGACTCTTTTGATACTGTGGATTTAGTCCTGCCGCATTGGGTATTGGAGCATCGGTAGGCACCCCAGTCCCCTGTTATGTTTTGCTAACTTCAAAAATGCGTGTGACACATGTTTTTCTGCTCCAGATCGAGTTTCCTAATTCTCGTCAACCACATGCTACTTGTTCGTCACATGATAACTGATGAATCCATTGTAAATAGATTAGGTTGTAGAAGGGGGATGCCTCACACTTCCTTCGAGTGCAACCGTTGTTCGGTTTGATCAAGTTGTTTGTTGGGTCCATCACGCACAACCACCAGAACAGCGTCTGTGGTAATTGACGTTGTTATCTGACTCCATGACTTAGCGACACATCATGAGCTGGAAATCATGCCTGGTCGTGAAGAGGTCACTTTCCACAAATGGTCAACAGTTATTTTCTGAAACCAGTCATCAAATGCAGCAGTTCAGAGTACAGGGTATATTTTAGCTAAAAATGTCAAAATTCATCGAAACCAATATACGGTACCACGCGTCGTTCTAAGACTAATTTACTATTCATAATGCCCAAATTTGCTTGCAATTAGTCTACTTCCACTAGCACCAACTCTCATTTAAAGTAGGAGTTCTTTGCAGTCTCTGTGGAAGTAAATAGAACTGCCTGAGTAAGTGTACTTCGATGTGCCTTTTAGCGAGCACGTTTTGGACGTTGATGACTGGCCAAAGTGTTTCCTCCGCCTTCACTCGGACTTCTCCTGGTTTCTGCCCGTGGGTGGTCAGCGGGAACTCTCGAGACCGGGCATCGCTCGTGCCATCAACGGAACCTCCGAAAAAGTGCTCACTACGACCTCCCGGTCTGTCTGGTACGTCCACATCAATCCGGCCATCGGGCAGTATGGTCTGTTTTGTTTCACCACATAATGTTTTGACATTAGCTATTGCAGAATACTTTGAAGTTGAGCTGTTAGTGTCAGGTATTGGACCTGCACCTCAATTGTTAAGTGCAATAGCTGAGGAAGCGCTAGATGTTGTTCATCTTCAACCTGGGAATTCTTCTAATCCGCTTACCATAATAACCGCGTGGCTGTTGTCATTTTACAGCCACTCAACCACGCCAGAAGAGGCTCTCACTTTCACCCAGGCATCCCGAACATGTCAACAAGTGCTCCTTCTTCTAAATCACCTCCTCTGGATTGTTCGAGAGCTAAATGCTTCTGGATCAAGCTTCGGCAATTCTGAGGAGTCTATTCTCTGCTGGACCACTCTTGTTGCCGTTCTGGTCCTTGACAAGCAGGCTCTCAGTACTGTATTCTCGTTGTCTTCTGTCAAACCGGACACTACTCTTACCAACGGTCCCCAGTCTCGGAAGGTAGAGAGAGAGGCGGGAGTTAATAAACTACTTCTTCGGATCCTGAATGGTCTTGGAGCTTTAGAGGCCATGATATCTGCCAATCCACAGGCGGCTCCCGACTACTTCGCCTTCTTCAATGAATTGAAACCAATAACTCGGTATGTCCTAGTGCTTACATTGTTGAGGGCCCCGGCACCGCGTTGAATCTAGCCGGATTACGCTATCCTGATGGTCGCGAAAATGAAGACCACAGAGGGCTAGGCACAACCGCTTACTAGATAGCTCAGCCTAGTTGTGACGTGCATGTCTAATAGAATTCAGACGAACTAGTTAACATACACGTGTCTTAATGGTCAAATGGATAAAGCTGGTTGTGGCGCTACACGCCCAGGGCTGACGGTCGCCTATTGCCGATGAGCACGCCGTGAAAAGGGGAACGTCTGTGTGAGGCTACGACGACCAAGTTAATGGACGTCAATCAGCAACATTCACTGCAACATGCTATGCGTAACAATCGGTTATTCCAAAATTCCAACTCGTCTAATCACCTAATCTGCTTTGGGATTGACAGCGAAGTCGGTGAAGTTATCTCTTGCCCGATGCCACTTTGAATAGGCAAGGAGACTTTTTTGGTGTTGCAACAGTGAGACCTCATACTGAGAAGCCGTTCAGATCATGTAATTGTGCCATGCATAGACATTTATCTCAGCTCACGAATTGTCATCATTAAGGCACACTCATAGCCCAAACATTGGCCTACTGTAATTTAACCCCAAGTCCATTTCAACAAGTATTTCTCGTCTGTTCAATGCGAAGACTCCCGCTCATCGCACTGCGCCGCCCTTGTTAATGATTAAACAAGAAAATGCGTGCTTTCTAATCCACTGAAAACTGTCACGTTACTGGGCTCGATTATTATTCTTATAATTTTTTTAGAAAATTTTTTCAAGACTTCATTGAATCGACCACGCCACCTCCCCCAGAGGTTTCAGCGGACAATACCTCTGCTGATGAGTCGTCAGCCAATGCACCACTATCAATTCCAGACACAACTGTAGTAAGATAGCTGCTTTCTTCCTTAGGTTTTTTTTTTCAAATTCATTTACAGACAGTAGTTTCATCCATCTTTTTTGGTTCTAGAGGGCGAATGAAGCCATTGGTCGTGGGACAAGAGAAAGCCAGGCAGAAATGTCGTTCGTGCCTCCTTCAACTATGCAAACCGTGTGGGGCCAAGATCGAGCGGCCGCGGAGTTCGAGTCGACCGCCGATGTGCACCTAGTCAATCCCGAGTCACCGGACGGTAGATCCGGTCCAGGCTGTACAGTTTCGTGACTTTATTTAGCGCATATTCTATTGTAACGTTGTATTGAAATATTTTAATCAATAATTTGTTTACGTTAAGCAAAATAACGACTACTCGTAGACATGAAATCGCCTTTTAGACTTTACACCTCCTGCTGTTAGCACATTGGTGAACATCTGATAAAGCGAGGTTATGATGAGGTCGGTTTGTCGGCTTGGGTTCGAACTCTTGCGTCGATTTTGCTGCTTCTTTTCGAATCCGTACTCACGGATTAGGTAACTTAGAAAGCGCAATTGATCGGACTGGTGTTCAGGCAAAAATTATGCCGGTTAAGTGGGCGATCTTGTCCAATATTGATTTTCACATGTTTTTCCATTTCGTTAAGACGCATATTCTCACTGAAATCTTTCGGCTCTTAGTCAGTGCTACTGTTGGGTAGATACCGGGCGACTCCTCAGTATGTCCATTAGGATGACCACACTGAGTCGTCGAGAGAACTTTTACAGCAGTAATACGGAATCTAGCAAGACATGCACAAAATTGGCTTCTTGGTGTTAGTCGAGCACCGTTGCAGAAGTGGCCTGAATTTACCCGTGGTGGGATCGATGTTTCAGCTTGTTTTGCGTTCATTTTTGTTCACACAAAACAACTCACCGTTTAGTAACCTCAGTAGAGGTAATTCAGGTCAGGGGATTAATCCAGTCCAAGTGTGTGCTTGACTATCACTGGGGCTGGGTTTTAATTCATGTGACGTTCTCGCAGGCTAAGTGGCAGATGTTTGCTTTTTCTTCGAAATATTGCTGGTTCATATCGCCTAAGAAATTGCAAGTGAATGCTACGAAGCGACCAACTATCGACGCCTCGATTACGGCAAAGAAAACAATGACGCGGATTCTGTTATTAATCAAAATTTAATCGAAATCGTACGTATCGGACTTCATTGTGTTCAGGATGCCCTGGATAGCCGCTGAATGAGCTTATTGTGAAATTATCCATGTTGTCACTAGGAAAGGTAATATACTGCAGCATAGAGAATATTGTTGGACATGATTTTGCGGCAAAACCAAGCTGAGGCAAGTGAGACGCCGCTTTTTTAGCAAATGGTTGTCTCGCTGCTCCTCCATATCCGGACATACGGTGTCTGGAGATCCCAGAATTGGCCTTATTGTTTCCTGTCTTCTGATATTCAGCAAAAAGACGAGCTTTTTCTGGATTTGTTAGTCTTAAAAACAAATCATTGCTGGAAGCACCTTGAATTATTCACGAGTAAAACATCAAGTGTGAGCGTTAAATTTAAGTGTAGAATTCTTGCACATAAATTTAAGCCTAACACATGCAGGTTGATTTGCAACTTTCTTAAAAATAAAGTGAAAGTTCACAGTCAGTAACGGTGAGTAATTCTTTTGCATTCCAGCTAACCTGAAGTAAACTTGCAGAGGAATATGTGAAGTTACGGTGATAAATGTGTTTACTGCAGTACAAACTGACCATTAATTCGTTGCCAATCAAACGCGATTACCAAACACTTCATGTCGCGCAAGTCATTGCATGCATTTTCAGCGATCTGCAGGTTTCAACCGAGTAATTATACAAAGCAATTTATTTTTGTGCTTATCCCAATCTGAATATCCTCAAGTCCCTAAATAGTTTAAGTCATTGCATTTCTGTTCAGTGGATTAAGAAGAGAACGTGTTTAAACGCATGTCGTAGTTGATTATAGATGCAAAAGCCTGCATAATAATGTCGTTTGAGACAGGGCCTCCGGACAACCATTTCACGGCAGTAGATCTCAACTTGCTGTAACTATTCGTAGTCTCTTGATTCCTGTAATTTTCCAAAAGACCAATTTTTTATGTGTAGGAGCCAAACCGTATCAGAGCTGTGCTGATACAATTGACACAGGCAAATTCCAGCCCCGACAACCTGACCACTAGAGAAGCTGAAAATACATTTAAATTGAACGGTAGAGATCTATCCTGTAATCGCCTTAATCCCCAATTAGCCATTATAAAGTAATTGTTTAAGATCTGCAAATTGCTGCAAAAATTAAGACTACATAAAAGCAATCAGAACACGAAAATGCTTGAATAACTAAAAACTTAAATTGAAGAACCTGACATGTGAACCTGTGCTTATCTTGAAAGATGGAATAGTTGGCTTCATTATACTAATCCAATTAAAACGTTTTGCTTCCAGAAGATTACAAATGTGGATTGAAGTAAGAAGATGAAGATCACAAAAATAATTAAGCAAAAATAAGCGATTGTTCGAGAAAAATTAAACCAAATTTTACCCAAAGAATGTAGATCATTGTGAAATATTTTCAATTTTAGTAATACAATTTTAACTAAATTTATTATAATTACTAAACGGTCTGATTCCTCTGAAAAGAGTTATCGCATGCACACGTTACTTTCTTGACTAACTTTTTAAGAGATCCTGTGGATGCTAACGAAAAGTAGGGAACTGGTGGAACTTACACAGATACCTCTAACGATGTAGATGTCAGATCCACAATTTTTTTAAATCACATTTTGACTGATTATAGCTATAACTCTGCAAAGGCACCAAAAAGAGCATATATATCTGCAAAAAGTGTCATTTTAATTTATTCACAACATTAAGGAATCGCACTTTAGGATAATGTTGAGTATTTCCTCTAATATGGTTTTGGATGCTAAACAAAAATAGCATGAAATTATAGAGTAAATTAGCAGGAAATAAGTAATCTGCATGTGTTTAAAAATATGTGTTGCTAATCATAGTATTGATCTGTAATTTGGCAACTGAGTAAAGTTCTTGGAAAATAGACATTTTTGTGTGAACGGCACCCGCATTTTTAGTGAACATTTTAACATCGCTTTGGTTAAGTTATCAAGTTATATTATCTTTCAACAGAAAATGCTTTTTTGGTCAACAAAGAACAACTAGACAGAAATCAAAAACCGGTCAAATTTTTATTTGACATATTTGCACACCTTCCAATCACAGCATTAGCTGCAAATCTTGAGCCTATAAAATTTGTCGTGGCCAAAGGCCTATAGGATTGAACCAAATTATAGTGTTAGTAAGTGCGCAGCGACGCTCTTAACTCGGATGGCTCTTGCGATTTCGAAGTAGCGGTTTTGATTTTCCATTTAATTGGATTAATTTAGGGCTGTCATCAAGGTGGGTGCTGTTGGTGGAGCAGTGTACTACTCGGTTGCTAAAGGTGTTTGGAGTTCGTCGTCTGAAAGTGAACAAGCATTTGAGGATTTGAAAACCTATGTTATGCCCCAAGTGTCAGAATCTGTACAAAAGGTAGCCTTAACTTATTTTGTCTTATTGAAATTCCCGTTCAGCTTCCATACGAGGCTTGTGTGAAGTGGAATGAATGTGTCAAATCCTCGTTTTCGGTCTTGGATTCGATCTCCTTATCCGTAATTTTGGATTCGATTAACAGAGCAGCGGAAAAAACAGGACTTCGTAGAAACTGATACCCCTGTATACTATATTATAAACATCCCCGAAAACTGTAGTTTTTTTATTTTCCTGCTCTGAACTCGTTGAACAAAGATTGTAATTGTTTGTAGAATGTCAGGCGTTAACATATTACGTTTTCTTCTTGCCTGTGGGAAGATCAAGGTAGGCATTGCATCTTGTACCATTTTTCTTGCAGTATTTTGCTCATCTTGAGATTCTTTGCAAAAATATATCGCTCTTTGTTGCCAAATGCCGGGCGTGATTGTTTGTCCGACTCAATAAAATTTGCTCTTTCCAGCTATTACTGCTGACGTCCCCTGTTTCTGTTGATTACTAGTTGATTTTCGACTTATCATTTTATTGTTGTACAATTCAATAAATCACCTGTAATAATTGGGCGGCTAGGCAGATATTTGAAGAAACGTTTGTGAACTAGTGAGCCCTAGATATTTTACTGCGTGTGATTCCATCCATTATGAATCCTAATTTGTATTGTTTTTTTTTGCATGTCAGCGCCTCGAAACAATTTTAAAGTGTCAATCACGTGGATCCATTAAATATTTTAACGTTATTGATTTTATCCGTATGATTATATTTACCGTTGAAGATCCCAGATTTCACTGTCTGGTGACAAAGGAGAGGAATCCGTTTCACTAAAGCCTTTAATCAGATATGATTTTCCCGCTGACAATAAAAACTACATGCTTGTCTGGGTAGATTTTGACGGTAAATGCCTTGAAGAATTGGTGAATGTTCGAAGTCTATAAATCTAATTAAAATAACCCTATTTCCTACGTAAAGCGTACAGTCCGTACTGGATGGACGCGCTACAATGTGAAAGATCCTGAGAGTGTTGCGGACCACATGTATCGAATGGCGCTCATCTCCACTCTTCTTCCAAGAACGGAAAACTTTACACCTGACAAGTAAATGACGTTTATCTACCTGTGCGTGATGCATGTTTATTTTACTTAACCCCAGATAGTCACACTACATGATTCTTCTAGGAATTCGGTAGGCGGTCATTTTTAATGGGACGGACCATATGTATTCCGAGTTATTTGAATTCATAGGAAAGGAATGCGTAACTTATCCGACGTTGGGAAACCTACTAACACACGACGTCTTTCATTTGCATTTTTGTCTATGAAACGTCTAGATCTTTGAGTCAAAACATTATGTAGTGTTAATTTCTTTATTTTTTAAATCAGTTCAGGCTCCACTTCTTTTGATATTTTAAATAAATCTATTGGCATGTTGCTCGGCAGGATAACCATAGCCAGTGTATTCTGTATGTAATTCGTATTTTGGATTTATTAGTAATTGTTTTACCTAGAATCGCTTCGTATGTCTAACAGGTGAACCCGCTGATATGTATTACACCACTAAATTTTCTTTTTTGTTTTTCGTCTATGTGTATTGCGAATCCTTTTAACCGTTATTAGAAGCCTGCATTTTCTGACATGATATGCAAGATGTCAATGTAGGCCGACTGTTCAGTAAGGCAGGACCGCCACATTTGTTGTTCGTCGATGAATTGTGGTAGGCCGTCATATTTTGGGCCGTAAAAGTCGTGAATTTTACCATTAATTCATAGTACCGCGCTCGCATAATTGCCTTGCCTCAGTGCGTGTTCATTCTGAATTACTTGCGAAGTTTCCTGTCTATTGACAAGCAAAAGTAAGCAACTTTTGAAATCGCAAATTTTGTACCTTATAACTTTCTAGCAAGCCTTAAGTATATGCGAACGTGAATTCTTATAATCAGGTAAATAAGTACATTTGACGTGTATGACATCACAATAATTCTGTTATTATTGTTACTTCGTTCCACTGCAGCCCTAGTTTGAGTCCCGCCTCATGAAAGCTTGTGATCTTAGGTAGATCTTAACGTCCATGGAGGGGTTTTATCATGGTAGTGGTTGTCAGCAGGCAGTTACAGCCTATACATTAACGTAACTCGGTGTTCGATCCATTATTTCAATAATAGAAGTTCAAAACCTTAACCTACAGTAAACAACGAACATATCTTCGACTTGAAAACGTTTCGAGTCATTTTGTCTCAGTTTTTCGGTGGTTTTGGGCTTTATTTGGTTCCTCATTTATCTCGCCGAATAATTATACCACTTTTGCCGGCTGTGCGACCTCTAGGTTCAAAGTGCTGTGTTTAGTGTACATCGAGGTCAGAGTTTCCTTTAATCTCTGCTTGAATGCCTGAAATTCGGGCGCCTATTAAGTTCTTTCATCCGAATCAGCCTGGAGTTTGGCCATGAGCCTACCGCAAAATTATCTGCTGGCAGGTTATTCATTGCTGTCCCTATCACGTTCATAATTTTCACCTAATGTGACGCCGATAGCTTGAATAATGGCTTAACTTAGTTTCTTACACCAGAGACTATTCATTTGCCCATCTTGGCCTTGTTTGGAAGCCACTGACCGATTTGTTTTGTTACTATCAGCCATTTAAGCAAGAACGTGGAGGTAGTTTTTATCACATTGTCTTTCAGCTTCCCTAATTAGCTACATCGAAACCAGAGCAGCTGCAAAACTGTACACCTGTGTAAACGCTCACTTTTGTCAAGTAGGCTTGTGAAGTCACACGGGCGTGTCAGCCAAAACGTCATTCGCCTTGTTATGTATTAGACAGACACGGCTTTCTTTAAGGCGCAGTTATTGCACCAGATTGTCAATGCCTTCCGCAAATTATCACTTTCTTTACGAAAGACAGCAGTTGCTTTAAATTTGACGTGGTGACATTAAACGTTAGAAAGGGTCACAAACACCTTGGTAGATGTAGAGTCTATGCGCTTGGGACTCATCCTATCCTTAGTTTGATCTAATCGGTTAGTGCGAAGTCAAAATACCGTCAGTCACCGCCGTCGCTTGGTTGTAATAAATGGAGTTTGTGAGATTATGGACATCGTGTCACGTAAAGTGGGGTTCAGAACAAATAAATCGCAGATTGATCCAACTGGTCCTTTCGTGCTGATCATGAAGGCGAGAGCTTACTTAAACCCCACTTGTTTCGAGGTTCGTTTTCTCCAAAAAGCAGCATTAAAAAATCCGTGATAAATCGGCACAGGAACCTGTTGTCATTAGCGCAAATACGTTCTAAACGCGGTAGGAATCGGTCACTCTGCATTCTCTGCGTATTTGCGTTTCCGAAAATGCAAACCGTATTCAAAAGTGTCCAGTGGATCTGCTTAGCCGCTTTTAAATGCTATGGTTTAATTGTCTGCGTTTTTAGATGTTCGGCATTGTTGAATTTTATCCAGTTCTGAATGAACCTGCCTAATTCAGCACTGAAAACATTGCTCGTTTATTTGAACTGGCTTTGTTTTATGAGCAGCAATCGATGCGTCAAGAATCTACGGGAAATTTCAGAAGTACAAGTATGGGTTATTGGTCGAGGATCCAAATGTTAGTACCGTGGTGTATACACAACAACCGCGAGAAAACGGTATAATTTACATTTAACTTTGTCGGTTAGAACTTCGAAGTATTTTCTTTCTTATTGACCGTCTTCTAACTTTGTTTTTTTGTGTACCGAGGTAACTGGGGTCTTGTCTGATCGGTTACAGTTTTACAGTCTCGATTTTCTTTTGTAACTCGTTGTTTTCACATGAAGCGTAGAAAACTACGTTTGTATGTACTGAGTTCATGTTAACTTTCTGTATTCCTTGAAATAGCGTGCCTAGGAAGCCTGTGCAATAGCCAAGTCGGTTCTAGCAGGCTCTTTTCTTTCCTAACTCTAGGGTCATGAAGATGGCGATCGTTCACGATCTCGCTGAATGCATTGTCGGGGACATCACACCATTCTGCGGAGTTTCCAAGGAGGAGAAACATGCCCGCGAAGAGGTGCGAGACTGGTCACCATGAATACCTGCTTACTGTGTGTGTGTGTGTACAAAACGTGAGAAGCCTAGAGCAAATTTTATTAACCCAAGCCATTTCATCACCAACAGGCCCTTTGGTTTCTGGGGCTGCAAAAAATGCAACTTGCGACCTGGGAGATGGAATTTCAATCGGTTGCGTGGTTCTTGACTATGTCTTCCAGCAACTGCGTGCATTCTGCAAATAAGTTCGTGCTTATAATATTCGTGTAGCGGCGTCCTAAAAATGGAATGCCTTCACTTAAATCAGACTTAAATCAGATTAACCTATGTTGCATTTTTTAATCCGACTGTTTTCACATCTTATGAACAGTACCATGAGCGTATCTAGTCTATATACATCACAAAATTTCAATTCTGTTTCCAGGCGGCTATCACTGGGCTCTGCAGGGACTTGCCCGACGACATCGGCACAGAATTGATTGACTTGTGGAAGGTAAAGCTATTGACACGGAGCAAACTTATTGCCACTGCCACAAATTCCGCCAGAACTGATCATGACCATTTCGTGACAGGGTCTTTTGGTTTTAAAAATGTTAAAATTGAATTATAGCTAATCTAAGCTAATAGATATAGTCAAAAATTATAAGAATAGAGACATCGGATCACACACGGAACCTTTATCCCAATCATCTCGTAAGCTTGTGCTTCCAACATTCCGTCATTGAAGATGTGCTTGCATTAGTAAGCGGGAAGTACAAAGTGTATACAAAATTAGGAGGAAATATACAGTTATACATGGGAATTAGGTTCCTGTTCGAATACTTGCTATTATAATCAGCCATGCACCGGGGCTTTCCGTACAGCCGTTTCTTTTGTGTAGGAGTCTGGGAGGCTGAAAGTTAAGGTGCTTAATTTTCTCGCCCTCGACACCATTCCCATTTTCGATTCATAGGCATGAGTGGAAGGTGTAACTTAAAGTCGTGGCATCACCGATTATGCGAGTGTGCGCATGTAAGTTCTGCGAGAATAGTTGTAACATTGGTCAATAATGGATTGGGCTGGTCTAAATCCAACTCATTTTGGAAGAGGACGGACTTCTAAACCTTGAAGTGTATTAGTTATAAGCTTACGAGGTTGCTAATGGAGCCGCAATTCTTGGTTGCTATCGAGACCGATCTAGCCGAATCACTTACATTAGCTAACTTAATCTTTTCTTATTCTCCTTGCCAGGAGTATGAAGATCAAAAGACCCCAGAGGCCATTGTCTGCAAGGACCTCGACAAATTTGAGATGATCCTTCAGGCTTATGAGTACGAACAGGAGGCGGGGAAGCCAGGCTGGCTGGATGAGTTTTTTACAAGTACGGAGGGAGTCTTCACGTACCCCTGTGTGCGGGAATGGGTCCATGCACTTCGCGAACTGAGGGCTTCCACAAAAGCGGATCATAATACCACTCTTAGGAAATAAAGTAACACTATAATGCGCATGAGCAGACTTCTTTATCTCCCCCTTTTCTTAAGTCATCATGAAGCAGCGTAATTTTTCCCTAAAAGGTAATCTTAAGTAACTACAGGTTTATGTACAAAAGGCGTATATAAATAGCACATTTTATTAATTTGATCAACTTGACTATGATCAACGGGCTCTTCAGACGACGACAATTATTGTCAAATGACGTGCACATGACCAACAATCTCAGCTTCAGTTCTGTAGGTTAATTTCGTTTAACTTTAGATCCAGCACTTTAGTACAGTACGCTGTGGACTTAAACTTGCACGGATTTTGCTTGAAATCCAAGTTTTCGAGTATGCATTGGTAGGCAGTAATCTTTAGATGACTGTGATTGTTGATTTGGCGACAAGTGTGATATTATAGCAAATGCATTGCATCAGGAAAACTAAGTTTCTTGTAAACAACTGGGTCATGCCAATTACTAGAGGTAGACATCGGTCATCAATACGTCTAAGACGGTTAAATCCATGAAGAAGTATGTGACATCTCGCATTCCGATCTCACCAGCATTATACAACGCTGACGTTTATGCAGCTAATTCAATAAACAGTATCAGGGAAAAGTTCACGGTGTGGACTTGGAGACAGGGGCTGTGTGGTAGGGCGCCTACTCCCGTCAGAGGTACACATCCCAAGCAGCAGCCCTCAGCTGACAAAATGCTTGAAGGCTGAACTAGTGAACAGCTGACTAAAATCCATATAAAGTGATTACAATGTTAAATAGGGCCTGATTCAACCGTTAGCTAATGCTAACCTCGCGCAAGCAAGATGTCTGTTGGTCCTACTTCCTCGTCCCTGGCTCCATCCCATACGCAAAACGTAACATGCAACTGATAAATTAAAGGGAAATGACGCTGTTTGTTGGCATGCTTTATATAAGTACTAACTCAAATACATCTACTACAAAGTAAAAAAATTGTCACCACAGATTGACCTATTAAAGTCGGGGAACAAAAAATCACAATTCTGTTTTTGTATGCGTGACGGGACCCCTGTAGGAGTTATCTGATTTTGTAGGATTTGGATCTACAACCGAAAAATTTTTTTACCAACAGGGAGGAACAATAACTTGGAGGGGGATATATAATAAAAAAACAAGTTATAAGGCGACATAAAGAATTCCTCCAATTATCATGCTAGGCAACTTGTCACGATTACAAAAGTACAAAACAGATTGGCACAACTACCAAAATATTATGGGTCAGAAATATAAGAGCACAAGGCAATAATAAAAGAAGGACATACCTTCTATAGAATTAAAATCATCTGGTAAAGGCGCTTCCACAGGATTTGCGGAGTCCTTGTCTGCGGTTTTAGAAGTGTTCACATTAGATGCAGGTTGCTCGTTGTTGTCATTCGCAGGCCACGGCTCATCAAGACAACCTTCATCAAGATTAAAAACACCCTAATGGTGATAATAAATATTTACACATTATTTATGTTTCGATATTGGAACATTAACGGAAAGCGTACCTGCAGGCATATCATTCAATACGTGTTTTCGGCAAAGAAAATCAGATAGAGAGGCTTCCCCGTGACGATCATAGAACCACTCCTCAATCCATCGTTCATAATCATAGACCAGTTTTTCACACTTTTGGAGATTGTCATTTTATTGACACTAACCTGCTGTCTGAGAACAGTGATTTCTACAGAAGGGTTGTCCCATAAGGCTGGAGGTATGTCCACTTTGACATCTACACCTTGTTCTCTATATAACATAACGTGTGAACAACACTTTACATCAATTTCTGCAAAGTTTCAAAAGTTTGCGGTCTTGACTTTTGGAATCTCGTGCTGTCCTTGCGTTCCTTGTGGACCCTGTATTGTAGCATTCTTGTGCATAAATCTGGATCCTCCATTATCTCTGTGAGACGCATTTCGCTAAAGAACTTTAGTGTAACGTAAAATACATACGATTCGGCGTAAGGTATCTTCTTATTGGGAAGCCCATATGAATCCACCAGTGCAGAACTATCCGTCTCATTATACCGGATCATGAATTCGTGAACAAATAGCTTGCAGACTTCACATGCCGTAGGCAGCTTAACACCACGGTCATCTTCGAAGGTTTCTCCACTAAGTTTTCCAAAAGCGCCAATAAGTAGGCAGGAAGTGATTGCTAAAAATACTTTCATCACGTAAAAACTGCCAACGAAATCACAGCCACTCCAAACCCACCAAACTGTAATACATGAGTCGTCCAACCAGATTTCTGCTTGAGTGAAATAAATGTCAATATGAAATGTTAAAATTTTTGGCCCACTTTAACCCAGACAAATGCCAAAAAAATGCTTGATTATTTTTGTAACAAAGCAAGTATTCAAATTAATGGTAAACGACAAAATATGTCAGTTGGTCTTGGAACTGAAGATTGTTTATGCGTTAACTTTTTTGAAGGTCACAGAAGGATTCTATCGGCGCAGTTTGGATTGGATAACACCCGAGGTCTTAAATGAATATGATGAGTTAATCCAACTTTTCCATACTGCCATTGACGCCTATTTTATGCTACTCCTCGGCCATCCTTGCCCGTGAATATCTGCTGGTTTCATCGTAGGCTAATAAACGTCTATAGACTGACGATTGGCTGAGCTCCGCGCGATCCAATATGGTTGCACTCCTGGTCGACCTAATGTAGAATACCCGAGCCCTAATAGGAAAAACACCGGTACAACAGAACAGGCTTTACTGACCAATCAGAAGCCAGAGCCACACATCAGGCGCCTTCAATCCGAGTCCGCCACGCTGGCCACGCCGCTCACTATATACTGCACCTCAGTCGTTTCCTTCTCTGGTTGGCTGCTTATCTTCCTCGCATGCCATTGGAACGCAGAGGGACACAGGATTGGCTGAGGCCAGGTGGTCCAACATGTCTGCGCCCTAATCCGATGCCACTGTAGGTTTCGGCCCCATGGTATAGTGAGGAAGAGAATGAGACAAAATGATTTTCTTTAATAAAGGATGAAACTC